TTTCTTGAATTCCTTTCATTCTCTAGTGCTTCTTTGCTTTCTCTTTGTGCTTTCAGCTCCTGGAAGCGTTTTGCAGCTTCTTCAAGTGCTGTGCAAAGGAGCCCCAAATAGGAAAGAATTAGTGTTGGCTGCTGCTGCTCAGAGGCATTTAAAAAAAAAAAAAAAAAAGAGAGAAAGAAAACTAGTACTTAGAAATCTACAACAGAAAACAAGCTAACAATAGTGTTGCACTAAAACACAAATCAATTTTACACCGACTACTTTTCCGCAGGTATTTAAACATCGTGCAGGGGCCATCGAAGCTCAGGCTCCACATCAGCACTTCTTTCCAATTTAACTTGGCAAGAACTGTGGTAGTTAGATGCTAAAAGCATTCATCAGCTCTGTACAGGGGATCTATACAGAGTTTGCAGTTTAACATGGACACAGAACACTAGGCACATAATTCCCATGCAAGTTAAGTGGTGATGGAGACACAAACACGTGGAACTTTTGTCATAAACCACTAGAAACTTTGTTTAATTTTACCTTTCTTGAAGGTCTTGTTAATACTAGTTTGCCCCTCAGCAAAGCTTTTATCTCCTTCAACATAAGGGAAAACTCTGCCCTGGTGTACCCAATAGTAGTCATGTGAACCAAAGAAAAATACTGGGAAGTCCCCGATATCATGTTTGAGGCCCTGTATGTTGAGAGGCACAGACCTGGGATTGCAGATCTCAGCTGGCCACCACCTGGAAGTGAAGAAAAGGAGAAAACTCAAACTCCGTGAAACAAAAGCAAAGTTTTGGCTTCTAGTTCTGAGGAACTTTATTTCCTTCCTAAAAACCATCCCACTCATCAATGAATAAATAACCCTTCAACTTGACTCCCTTCATCTTCAGCGATCTAATGCAGCGGTCTAGAATCCAGGCTAGGAACATTTAAGATTCAATGTACTGCAGCAACACTTCTGCTTGTATGAGGGCTGTGGGACTGGACACAACTGGGGACTAGCTTTCTGCAGGACTGCCATCAATACCGAACAGTGTTTTTTTTGTTTGTTTGTTTGTTTTTTAACCAACAACAAGAACAACATTAATTTCAAGGTTGATTAAAAGAAAAAAAACAGCTGCAAGCAAACCAAAAAAAATTTTTTTTGTGCCAGATTTGAAGTAACATTCAAGTAATTAGGGCACACTGATGCATGAAAATAGTACAAGAAGAAAAATGTGGGTTTGTTTTTTGGGGGTTTTTTTGCAACTATCAACACTTTTTTAATGTCGTTTCCCCAAGCAGGCCCTTTGCAATGCAGGGAACTCCAACAGCAGCACCACTAGAAAGAAACATCCCAGCAACATTTGGCTGGGCTTCTTTTAAGCTAAGTAATGCTATGAAAAGCAAAAGCAATGGGAAGGCTTGGCAATCTGCTCAGATTCCAGAAGCAGTGAAGGGGGCTTACAAATTCAAAGTTAGGACTAGCACTGAAAGCAAGTGTAGCAAGGGACTGCTCATGTTCCAGCAAATAAACACAAACCCAGCCATGAGCATTTTCACCAACTGTGCTATATTTGTGAAAGTTGGAGAATAAGTGAACAACTCTGTTGTTCCCTCACACTCAGTAATGCCAGTCCTCACAAAATCCTCCGAGGACAAGCTGAAATTGTTGCTGCAAAGGCCACCTGTGGTACAGCTCTGGGCATGCGTTTTATGTTCAGATCTGGACGAGGGAGGTGAATGTCACTCATGCACCAAAAAATGCATTTGATATGGTAATCTTAAGCACCTTCTTGCTTCCCTTGCTCTCACCGTCTCCAACATGCCAAACATATCGTTCATCGTATTTATTCTGAGACAGTGGGGGTACTCGCACGAGAATCAAGCACCATATGCATTCCCCATTGAGGAACATTAATCATGGCCCCTAAAAATCAAACTACCCAGGATGTTGTTTCGATTAAGTAACACCTGCTTCTCCCCACCCCCAACACCATATCCCTACAGTATCGAATGCATCATGCTCATGTCTTCCCCTTGCTGCCTAAAAAAAGCACAAGCAAAACTTAATTAGAAAAAGCCATACATCTAACAGCATGTCAGCTATTCTACATCAGACTCGTCCTTACTAATAATGGGATGTTCTAACTGGTTTACCTGCAGGCCTCCAGGACAGTCGCAACATCACCACAGAAACAAAAAACCTGAAATAGTTTCTGGAGGGAGCTAGCCAACTTGCCTGTAATTTCCAAGCTTGACCCAAACAATCTGCTTGTAATGTAGCTTCTTGCCAGCTTTACAATCATTGCAATTCCAGCATCCTTCTGGCATTTCTAGGTTGAGACATTCAGGATGAAAGGAGGCTGGACAGGACTCACAGCACAAGAGTTTTCCACCTTAAACAAACATACTTGTTTAGTTTGCAGAAAAAAAGCTTATTCTTATTGGGGGTGGGAGGGGAGAGGGGAAATCAGTGTTACTGGATTAAAATGCATTAAAATTTGCAGTGGCCTCACACCAAACAAATAGCAAAAAGGAAGGGATCAAGTCAACTTACAATGCTGGATTAAAAATTAAATTCATATTTTTCTGTGACATTTTCTTCTTCTTCCGGCTGCATCAAGAATGCATATAAAGCAAGCTAAGGAATTTCAAAACACATTTAGATCGAATAAGGCAAGCTGACACGGGATCTGATGTTTCAATGACGAGCATAAATTCTTGAATATTCCATGACATTTTTTTTTTTTAATCCAGACATTGGGGAAGTGGCCACCATTTTGTAACCATCAGACCAATCATCAACTTTATGGAACACTTTTTATCCAACATTGTCATGACTAAATCCCTTAGCAATCAATCAGTTAGTGTGCATATAAACCAGCCTATAGGTTGATCAATGCTTTTCTGCATCCAAAGTTGTTTTGGGCTGGCTTGTTTTCTAGCAGATGTATTTTATTGTGAGCACACATCTCCAAGCCATCCTCACTAGGTGAAGCAGCCGAGACGATCAGTAAACACTTGCTACAATCTACACGCAAATTTAATGAGTCCCAGGGCAAAAAGACTGGGAGAAATTTAAAGCAGCGTTTTAAAGTATTTTTTTTTTCATACTATGAAAAAAGTTCTGATTTTTACTTCCAAATATTTATCAGAAAATCTTGTCCACCTATAGACTTTCAAAAATGTCACCGCATTAATTGATTGGAGCATCTTGCAAAAAGCATTCCTTAAACAACCAGTGACAAAAAAAAAAAAAAAAAAAAAAAAAAAAAAAAAAAAATCACTTCCTATATTTCCTCTGTCAAAACCGTAATAAAATGAAGCATTTGGATCTTCCAGAGCTCCCCAGCCCCATAAGTTAAAGTTTTTTAAAAGAATTTTTGTAAACCATTTCAGAGGAAATACAGACCCAACATAATCACTGAAACAATATCCAATATGGTAAAATGCCAAGAGATGCAAAAACCAAAATAAAAACCAAAACACAAAAAACTCTCAGTGCTAAGCAAGAAAAAACTTTGCTCTTATGATGCATTAGTAAGATATTGCTCAAGCTAAGCAAACGGAGGGCTCAAAATAATTTTTGTTGTTACAAGTCACACAGATGCTGAACAAATCTACGCCTAGTAGCAATGTGAAATGACCTAACTATAGGATGACTAGCTGGGTACCATTCCTGAACACTCTTTGGGAAGTCAGTTTTTTGTGGGGATAGGCTACGGCCTCTGAACCTGACAGACAGACACTGCAGGGTATTTTTCCATTAATTCCTTTGATAAGCCATACCAGCACAATACCAACATGGTATAAAGCATTCACCTTGTTTTTGAAAAAGCATCTCTTCTGATCCTGCCATAAATGCCCCCCTGGTGTGCAGGACAGACTCCCCAATTCCATCAATTAAGAAGCATTGCTCCGAGAAGTGAGCAATCAGTCACGTAAGTAAAGAAAGGAGCACCAATGTACAGAGAAGCAGGCAAATGAGCCATCTGCCTTCTTAAGTCGTCAGTTTTCCTCTGGAATGCCAACTTTCCCATATAAACACGCCACCTGACAAACCTCGTGGTCTTACTGTTGCAGGGTCTGCACGAGCTGTACAGGAGACCTGGAGTAGGAGTCTCTTCCCTCAGATCAAGGCAATTGAGTAAGTTCTTAAAAGTAATTTAGAGGTGCTGAACTAGAATACTACTAAGCTCTGCTGCCCCTTCCTCAAACTTACTGCTAGCTAGACAGCCCCCTTAAAATAAAAGTAACCTAACGTCAGATACAATCGGTGATTTAACCTCTGGAAGAAGAATTTTGGGATGCTAATTATTTTAAGCCCTTTGATGATAAATATTTTGCCAACAACATCAACACAAGCTCACAGTAATCAACGAATGAAATTCACTAAAAGCATCAGGTGGCGCTGGACAAGCAAACATTTGTTTGAGTTAAAAGAGAAAAAGAAAAATAGGAAAAGCGAAAGTAAAATTAAAGAGAAGGAAACTATTTTGGTTACCTTTCTCACATTTCTTTTTGGAAGCTGACGAAGGAGGAGGAATCATAGGTAATTTCATCAACTCAGCACGATTTGATTCATTCAGTAGGTAGTGGGACTTATAGGCATATGAACTGAACAGGGGGTCTGAATGATCCTGCACTACCAGCCCTATACGAAACAAACAGAAAGAGATGAGTTGCAATGAAACTACCCATGATTCCATAAAGGTGAAAATAAAATAAATCAAATGAACACCTAATATGCATATATAAGTTTGAAAGAAAAAGATAATATGAAGAAAAAGAAAAAACGGACAGAAAAGGATTCTATAGCTACCACAGAAAGGTCAAGCTGAATTCTCGGACAGGCTGAATTCAAGTGTAAGTGGAGAAACTGAGAGTAAACAGGCTGTATCTAAGTGGAATGTCCTTTGTGCCATCTTTCTGATTTGCAGACTTAAAGACCTGCTGCGAGTTCCCCATGAGTCCCCTCTTTCCCAAATAAAACAGCTGGCCCAATTACAAAATAAAGGTAACTGAGTGACTGCATCAGAACTGTCTCTTTCAGAAGGGATCGTCAACTGGAGGGGCCAGAGACTGTGTACAGGGGATCCCAGAACTCAACCACCGCTACAGCCGTGCTCCAAGCTTTTGCTTTATTTTAAATCATTTGTTGCACTTACAGTTGCATAGAAAAATATCAAGATTTGAAACCAAACGTGAATGCTGCAAGCATGCAGAGCAACAGAGCAGCTGTTACGTCATATAAAGTTCAAGGACTCTGCAATTCCACAGCTGGGGGCACTGAACATTTACTGCAACTAAAGGTTCAACATTTTGCTCTCCTAAATGTCTACAGTTGCTTCTTGCTCTCTGCCTTTCCAAAGCGACTAGCTGGATTACAGCACATTTCCTAAACGGGTCACTGAGTCAGGCAACTCAGAGTCAGAGAGAGATTTAATCAGGAATGCGGGACGCTGGTAAACTGGGTCATCTGGCAAACAGCACAACACAGAACTTAAGACCCAAGGAAGCTTGAAGACAAGCTCCTTGTGGGACAGGAGGGGACTGGGGGGGGGGGGGGGGATATTCCACATGGGTACCGGGGGATTTTGGAA